TTCTACAATGCGGCTTTTTGCTGATGATGCATCCCTCTACTGTGTAACAAAGAAAAATGATATCAGAAAAGTAATAGATCAAGTAAATCAAGACTTGCTATTGATTTATGAATAGTCTATAACTTGGAAATTACACTTGAATATTGATAAATGTAAAGCTATTTTTTTTTTTTTCTACTCGTGTACGAGAGACTCTCGCTTCATTACTACCTGTTTTGATCAATAATTCAGTTATTCCTTATGTCACAGAACAGAAATAGCTAGGCTTGGTTCTAAAGTCTAATCTTGACTGGACAGCACACGTTGATTATGTGTTAAGTAAAGTGAATCGTTTAACTGGTCTTTTAAAGCTCCATACACGTGCGCTGGCCAGAAAGTCATTAGACTTAGTCTATAAGTCTTTTGTTTCAAATTTGTTTACTTATGCGTCAGCCATATATGGAAATACGGCAGACAAAAATCTTGACAGACTAGAATTAGCTCCGTATAAGGTAGCTCGTGCGGTGTCAGGTGCAATGATGTACACTTCTAAGGAGAGAGTTCTTAGAGATTTAAACTGGGAACCCCTGCTAGAAGTTTTTAAGCTACACAGACTAGTTCTACATACCATAATATGAACCGAATGTTGCGTTTTGCAATGCATACCACCTTTGCGATCAGGTTCTTCACGTGTGGGAGCATAAATTCGATCGTTCTGTTTGTTTAAATTCCATCGATATCAAAATACTTCTCGTCGGAAAATAAAATTTTTTCCTTCATTGATTGTCGAATATTTTTCCGAACCCAAATTCCAAATGATCTTCTTTTTATTTTATGTTGCTCAGTAAGCTTTGGCGCCACTCGTTTAACATACGGTTTCAAACCCAGATCCTCTTTAATAATTCGACGCATGGTGGTATGAGATACTTTCATTTCTTTCGCCAATATTCGCGAAGATGCTTTCTTCTTTCTTGATAAACGTTGTGTCACCTTCTGAGTTAGAGTTTTTGTGTGAATTATTCTCGGACGACCTTTTGGACTCGTTAAATCGATAGTGCCAGATCTATTGATTGATTTTACCCAAGAATAAATTGTTGCTCTTGAAACCGTACCACGTAAATGTTCATGAATTTCATTTTCATTTAGACCTTCTTTGTGCAATCGCAGTACCGGCTCTTGAGTGTCTTTACTTTTCATTGTATAACTTTTCAAAGATAACAGATATAAATCTGAAACAATAATAGTTTTGTAGAGCTTGAAATTCTCTATCTTCTGGTGTATGAAGAAACATTTTATTTGAAGAGCAAATAAGAAAAAAAATGCATTAACATTTAGTCTAGTTTATTATGGCACACCCGCTATAACATTATTATATTTCGGCGTTTCTTACTACAGATACGTTTCACTTAATATCCGAAATTAAAACATCTTCCCGTCTTCTTTGGTTAGTAGGCATAAAACTCACAAGGCTACATAAAAAAATGAAATACTACATATTTCGCGATCATTTGTCTATCAAAAAGTTCTAAAAAAATTAACTTATTTGTTAACGATCTATATATCAGAAAAGGTCAGTCATACGTAACTTGACAGATCATTATGAGAATATTAAATTTTATACCAGGCTCCTGCCTTTTTGATCTTCCAGAGAGAGAACTATGACTGGGAAACATTGTTCCTTAGCCATTTCTGTTTCACGCATACCTTTTTCATAAAAACGAATTTTTTCTTTAGCTGCAAGCACAACTTTCTTGTGGAAGATTAACTGCTCACCTATCACGCTAGAAAAGTTCAGTGAAATTAGTAAAATTTTTCCAGAAATATAAGTTGAACTATTTCTATAATGGACAATGGAAACGTTAATGCATCTTCTTTTTCATTGATACTGATATGAAAAAGTATAAAGATAAAGGTCAGAAAAAACTGATATCTAGACATATAGATTTATTTGATCAGTACATTCCTTTTCCACTAACAGCAAGTACGTTGAACTGTATATATATTGCTTGGCTATCTGGTATGAAGAGCAAATTCCACGTAAAACGGTGAAAAAACGAAACTAATTTTTTCATATTAAGGCAAGGTTTAGCCTAACGTAGCCAAATTGAGGCAAGGCTTAAGCCTAACGAGCCTAGTGGCTCCGCCGCCTATGTTATGCATGACTATTCTCAGTTGTCATGAACACTGGCTTAGCCATTGCTGTATTGTTAATTTACGCTGTCTAAAACCAAAATATTACAATTCCTTCATGGTGGGTACAACGGTTTTTAAGATAAGTTTATTGAATCATGAAGATGAGAACAATAGACACCGCTCCGTCGGTCTTGTCTCGTTTTCCTATATAATTAACGGTCCGTTTTTAATTATAACGTCATTTGACTGATGATGTACTTAGAATAAAGTACGAAACGTCTCAAAATGCTTAAAGCGGTGTCTATTGTTCTCACCTTCATTATTAAGTGTATTCACCGTATCCACAAAAATCAAAATGATTTATTTATTGAATCATATTATTTTGGGGCTGTAAGGCTGATTTATTTCAAAAAAAGCAGTGCCTACACAATCTATTTACACGTCTGTCTACTACTTTGACTACACTCTGTTTGACTCTTTCTACACATTCATGAACCGAAAAGTTGAAAAAAATCACCGGAGTACTGTTTTCTTCATGTGTTCTTTTGCTATGGAACGCAAAGATGAGAGAAAGTAAGAGAAGGACAGATAATAATAGGCTGTAAGAGAATTGAACATCGCAGCTTGAATAGAAGAAACAAAGAATGATTTCCTTTTTCTCGTTCTATGATGGTCAATTCTCTCTTAGACTTATCATCCATCCTTCTTTTTTCTTTCTCTATTTTTTTGCTTCATAAAAAAATAACACATAGAGAATTGTTCTTCCCATCATCTTTTCTGATACATAGCTTGATCATGTACTCCGCACACTATCTCATTTTCGCATGTCATAAGTTCAACTTTTCTTTTAATGATTAAACTACAGAACATAAGTCTTTCGAATTTTGAAATAAAAGTGAGTTGAGACAACTTGCCTAGACTCAATTCCACTCAAGGAATCCGAATATCATCTTGGTGCGATTGAAAAGTGGAATGGAACTGAGTTTGTTTTCCCAGAGGTAGCTTTTCGCGTTTATCTTCGTAATATTATATTATATTTCCAAAAAACAAATTTGAAATTTGATGGTGAAATCACAAAGTACGAGTATATTTCTGTATTTTTCGTCATTGATTTAGAAAAAATGAGTTTTAGAGTCGAGAAAATCATTCATATTTTTAAAGAGTATCAACTTTTTTGATCATCAGAAAAAGATACTTTTAATCACCAAATGTTTAACATGATACATATTCATTGAAATATTAACCAAATGGACACTATTTTCACAATTTTATTTATATCTATTTACAAATTTAAAGCTGTGCTAACTTTCTTCAGAGGCCTTTTTGCTTTTCGTTTGCCTAATGGTTGAATACGTGTTTTATCGCTAACTTGATACAAGTTAAATGAAATTGTTAATCCAACAGAATGTTTACACGAATATACTTTCATGCCAATCGGACACCTACATGATTCTAATGGTACAACAAGCCAACATGATTGTTGCCATATCAGAAAATCATTGAATGTAAGCCACTGACGAGAACGATAAATATCTAGACAATGACACACTCGATGATTTTCTGGTGTATTCAACCATTTGGCAAACGAAAAGCAAAAGGTCTTTCAAGAAAGTTAGCACAGCTTTAAATTTGTAAATAGATATAAATAAAACTGTAAAAATATTGTTCATGTGATTAATATTTCAGTGAATATGTTTGTGTTGTACATTAAACTTTGTTGAGAAATAAAAATGTGAGACCATGCTGGAAAATTTGGTAATTAAAAGTACATTTACTCTTTTTAAAGCTCGTTTAATGGTGGTTCTAACGAAGTAAAAAGGTCGGCATCGTCTGTTCAGAAAAAAAGCTAGATAGGTTGCAAAAGTATTTATCAACATTTTATACGTCCAAGTCATCCATTTCATCATTCAATTAGAGTACATAATCGATTATGATAGACTATGTGTGCTGATCAATACCAGTAAAGAGAAAGAGAGCAGATGTATATCACAGATAAAAGGCGTGAGTTTGAAAATAAAAATGCACAACGGTATGATAGAACTCGTCAACCCTTTTGTTGAACAATATATTTTTATACCTAACAGTACACATACTTTATTTTTACATGTTAAAGAATGTTGATACATGTTCAGAAGTATTTACCATTGGCATTATCATTCGTATTCTTTTTGGTTACATTGTACATTAATTCATTGGTGCAAGTTATTGCCGATCGTCATTCGCCGAATCAACTACCACCATTGCCCGATATCGGTCATAAAATACTTCCTTATTGGACCTATTTTCCGATCAACAATTATATTTTGTTCATTATCTTTATATCTGTTATTGTTCGTTATATATTTCAATCGAACATTCGACTGATTGTGTTTCGTCGATGGTTTTTTATTCAAGGTTTAATGTTTTGTATGAGATCTATATCCATTTATATCACTGCTTTAAGTATTCCATTACCCGGCTGTAACACGACGGCACTCGGTTCACCAGAAGTGGAAGCATTTTATATCATGATAACAGTCCATTCCACATGCGGCGATGTCATGTTCAGTGGACACACAGTAACAAGTATGTCTCTGATATTCTCACGTCTATTTGAGACATAGAAGAATCTCTTGAATGTTTTAGTTACCATCTGTGCACTGTGTTGGACGAATTATTCAAAAGGTGAAGAGTATTTACCATTCATATGGTTATATAAAAAATGTTTTCATCACGGTCAATCTGAAGCAATACAACAGTCAAATTTAGATAAGAAAAAGAAATGTTTACCACAATGGTTTTTCTATCCAAAGCTAGACGCAGCCGGTGATCCATTGACTTTGTACTTTACATCATATTTAATTTGGTTATATTCCATTATCGGTTACGTCTTGATTATTGCTACACGTTTTCATTATAGTGTCGATGTGTTCATAGGATTTCTACTGACGTATTTCACATGGAAATCGTATCAGTTTTATACTAAGACCCTGTTTGAAAGGAGGCTAATTATTATATCAAGATTCTTCATTTGGTTTGAGGGACTGGAACGAGACACATCTGTAATATTTCGTCGAAATGAACGACAACAGCTTGGTGTTCCAGTAAGTTTGTTAATTGGACTCAATAGTAATCAACAGCAACCATATCAACAACGACAACCTAATGATAAATCAAAAGAAGTTTACATTCTTGTTCCAGGAGATGAACGAGACAATGAGTCACTCACTATATAGTCTTGAATTGTGTATATATTGTTTTATTCATATTTTCAAAGAAAAGTAAATATTTTAATTTTTTTATAAAGTTTTTTAAAAGTAAGTAATAGAACTGGACAAGTCAAGTCAAAAATGGCCTCAGGTTTAAGTCAAGTCTGACTTGACTTCTAATTCTGGCTATCTTTTAAGTTATTTCAATAGTGCATTGTTTCAAGTTTTTAATGCGAATAAAGGATATTAAACATATAAGTACCGTCATTTTCCATGATTTCTCTAACGGAGGAACATTCCCAAGTGAGGCACTCCGATTTTTTTCAAACCTATGTCGACCGATAGAGGATAGTGAGCTGGTAAAAAGCCTAAAAGGATTTGAGTCCATGTCTCTTGACGATCCGGTTTTCTGAAAAACCAGTTTTTCAGAAACTCTAAAAAATAACCAGAGCCTTTTCTTAATGATGTGGGATTATAGACCGCATATTTCTGATTAAAATGGGACGTCCTCAGATCTACACGATCTTTCTTTGCAAAGTTATAGACTTTATAAGAAGAGCCCTGAACGTTCATTGTCAGCTGAAAGCTACAGAAATAAGAAGAAATTAATTCGGGGCTTTCCTGTTAATTCTATAACTTTGCAGAGAAAGGTCGTGTAGAGCTGAGGGACTTCTCATTTTAATCAGAAATATGCGGTCTATAATCCTACATCATTAAGAAAAGGTTCTGGTTATTTTTTAGAGTTTCTGAAAAACTGGTTTTTCAGAAAACCGGATCTTCAAGAGACATGGACACACATCCTTTCAGGCTTTTTACTAGCTCACTATCCTCTATCGATCGATATAGGCTTAAAAAACATCGGAGTGCCTCACTTGGGAACGTTCCCTTGGAGGTGCTTCAGTTACAGGTCGTTCAATTTATTTTGAAACGATTTGCAAGCAGTTTTTCTTTACAAATCGTTTCAAAAAAAATTCCTTACTATATTAAACAATAGACAACTTAATTCTCTACAAGACTGTATATTCATTTTTAAGATTCATCTTTGATGTTTTGCACAGTAAGTCTAATAGGAAAAGCTTAAGTGCACCTTCAAGAAATCGATTTTTTGCGGAAAACCTCGCTATAAATCACTTATTCAACAAAACAAGGTATATCGAAAATTCAGCAAGAAATTTTCTACAGTATGATGTTCTTTTTCAATGACAAACAATGATTTTTTTAGATGAAATCAGAGCGAAAAAGAGACTTTAATAAAGATCATTTTCTCCTATTTTTCGGTTATCTTAGCGACAACCAGTATTCCCTAGTTTTTCTGATTTTTCTAAATTTGGAAAATAGACGAAATTTCCGTTTAAATGAGGCATTTTTTACCATGAAACAGTTTCTTAAACTATAAAAACTGTCTCTCGCGTACTCAAAAGGCGCTGGCAAATTTTATGCTCTGACTGTTTTTTAACTAGACTTGACTTGACTTGACTTGAAGGAAAGAATTTCGAAGGATGACTTAACTTGTGATTTGCAAAACTTCTGACTTGTCCAGTTCTGCTTTCTGCTAATCTGTTTTTAGTACTTAGCGCGCATTAATCTTTCGCTAATTTCTTTGAAAATATGGCAGAAAGTTGTATGAAAATGGACGTGGACCTGCCAGATGATATGGACAGGTTGATCCTGTACGCCGAAGAGTAATACATTTTCTTGGCGATTGTCCGGCGGAGGCTTGTTATTTTGAAAAGTTTCTGGCGTGTGATTTAGGAAACCGACCATTTAATGAAATTGCACTCCATCAATTTCGCTGTTAGTAGCGTGCTTCTTCAGCGTTACCCTCCGTAGCTTATCTTAACCTTTTCTGTTACTCTTCTTTTCATTTTCTGTAAAATCAAGCCTGATTTTTCAGAAAACAGTTCTTCTGAAAAATCAATTTCGATTGCACAAGTAGTAAAACATCAGTTTTAGAGAAATTTAAATCAAGCACATTCCTATTTTGAAACAGAAAATGAAATTTTACTACGTCCACCGAATTATTTGCAAGTTACCGCTGAAAGCTTCAGACAAGAAATAAACAGGCTATTTTCAAAAATCAACGGTCATTGGACGGGATTATCATCAGATCGCCAAGACTGTAAGCGGTGCTAGTTTAACGGAATGTGTTGAAATAGTTTTGTTGAACAATTTTATTCGAATGAGGAAATGTCGAAATACGAGCCCAATTTAATAAAAGTAGTTTGGAAATTTGAACAGAATCTTATAGAAACAAATTTCAGATGCTTAGATCTTTCAGATGAAGTAAACAAAACTACCGAAACA